ATGCCCCTAATTTCACTGGTTTTATTTGCAGAGGTATTAAAATCCTACTAGTCTCATTGACATTTCTGTTAACTTGGAGAATAAAACAGATTTTTCTTAGAAATTAGGTAGGCACATATGGGAAAAACATCCTAGGGAATATATTATTACTGGCATTGGCAATTAAATGTGAAATGCTGCAGAACCCTTACCACTGGAATTATTAATTTTGATATAGCATTGAAGACATGGAAATGCTGATTAGAAAGTGTACAGAAATAAATTAATACATAACTTTAAAATAATTCATTATCTGTAGTCTGGACCATTTTACCTTCAGTTAAAGGATGAAAAAATAAAGAGGATGCAATCACTCCACTTTGAATGTCGTCTTCTGCTGCTATAGGGGGAGATGCCATTTGTAATGGACTTTGCCACATTCTTGCATGGAGATGGGACACAGCATGTAGAGACAGACTGAGGCAGCACAGCACCTCAGAATGGTGGGAATATGTGGGGATTTAAAGATTTGAACCTTCTAGAATGCTCTGTCTACAAGTGAAGGGTGACATATCACTGAAAGATACAGTTTTTCATGAAGCCATGATTAGTAAGAATATATGGGCATTTAAAGATTTGAACCTTGTTCCATCTAGAATGTTCTGTCTACAAGTGAAGGGTGACATATCACTGAAAGATACTTTTTCATGAAGCCAGCATGCAATCAGCTGACCTTATTTTGATATATTTCAAATGCTTTATTGCTCTTTTCCTTTGAAGAAATCTTGAAGAAACGAGAGCTATGGTAAGAGCTTGAGGATAGTAGGGCTCAAGAGAACGAGACAATTTGATTTCTTGACAAGAAAGCTTAGGAGTATCACCAGGGAAGGGAATGAGGGCCTTCTGATATATTTCAAGTGCTTTATTACTCTTTTCCTTTGAACAAATCTGGAAGAAATGAGAGCTATGGTAAGAGCTTGGGATAGTAGGGCTCAAGAGAATGAGACAGTTCGATTTTTTGACAAGAAAGCTTAGGAGTATCACCAGGGAAGGGAATGAGGGCCTTCCATGTCACATGTGATTTAAGCAAATCAGCCACATACACCTGGTAGGTTAGTGTCAATCTTCTTTACCTGTTCTCTTTACTGCATCAGAAACACAGTACTCCCAGCAAGCTCAAACTCTTCTTTAGATAGTCTCTGTTGAGACTGTAACTACTTTTACATTCAACTTGCTCTTTTCTTGCAAGCTGTTCTCTCCTTCTTTGCCCAGTTTAATATTCTCAGTCTCAGAACAGTTCAGTACTGACTTCAGTTCAACTGAAGTCAAGTTCCCCTAAAACCTGTAATTTCCTTTTTTAAATATTTACAACCTCATTCTGTAAACATGACATTTTTTCAGCTTAACATGATATTATCACATTGTAATTAAAACCTGAAAAAAGCTATACTCCTGTAAAGAACTGTGATATAAATTTTTAATAGTAATGATCTGCAGAAATGGACTTCAGTATTGAACCTTTAAATGGATGTCTGAAAATGTAAGAAAACATTAGATTTGAGGTTCCACATAGTGTTATATTACTTGGAAAAACCTACAAAAGACTCTTAGCTGTCTACTTGAGAAGTGCCATTTTCTTGCATTTTACTGGCATATTTTTACCTTTCCCATCATTAAATTTGTTGTCTCCGTGTCTCACAGTAGTGTTAGATCAGAACTCCAGAAACACAGGTTTGCACTTCCTCAGATACTGTTGAAAGCAAATGTACAGGCTAAACAGAAATATATGCAATAATATCTAAATAGAAGCCATTAGCCTGATTAGAAATACTCAGTTCTTTTAGAAGCACCAGGCTTCAACTCCAATACGTGTGAAGCTGCAAGAGATTGGATCCTCTTCATTGTAGCTTGTTAGCTCAAGTTCACAAGCATTAGGACACCTACAGCTTTTGGCATCATGGAAGGGATCAGCATCAGGTTAAATAAGGACTCAGTCAAGCAGTCTATAGATAATGTCACACATCTGTCACGTACCTCATCACCACAGTGCTCTCTCATTTGTTCTGCAGTAACACATAATCAAATCATCGTACCGGGTCATACTAGAAGCTTAATTCCATGCAGGCAGAGTTTTCAAAGGCCATTATGCTGTCACTGAGCAAGTGCCATTAACATCAAAGATAGTATTAAGCCAAAACCCCATCATAGGCTAGGGCCTCCTGATAAGACAAGTGTCAAAAAAAAAAAAAAGCTCTGAACTGAGGAACTTAAAGTCTAAATAAAGAAAAGCCCACCTTCACTTGAAAGGAAATTAATCTGTTAGATGATGGCTGTTTATCACAAACAAGAAAGGCCAGTGCACCATAGTAAGTGCAGGATGTATTGCACTTTACACTGGCCCTGAGTAGGCACAGGCCACTCCGTTCTGTTGTCCCCTGTGTATTGTCCCAGCTGACCAGGGCAAAAGGAGTCAGAGGTCAGCAGAAGGAGGAAAATAGCAAAATTATGTTGATGGAGAATAACAGATAGAAGTTAAACTACAAACAGACTTCTTATTGTTAGATTTGTGTTGCTTCTTGGTCAGAATATAAACAAGTACTTTGGCTTTATTTTTCACCACAAGTTCCTTGCAATTCATGGGGAACATTCACAATTCTCCTTGCATAAACCACCACAATGCCCATTGTTGAGACTCAGCTTTTTGCTATTCATTCTCCAGCACATACAACCTGAACTTACTTGTAGGCTTGATGCTGGAATTCTTAAACTGTGGAAAAGAAGTAGTCCCCAAGTTGAGCAGGATACTCACAGCATCTCAGTAAATTTTGGTATCTCAGTATTTGTCTTTTATCCTAGCAGCTTCCATATTCCTTTTGTTGTTTTAAAAGCAAACAACCAACACCACCACCAAATACCCCATATACCTCTCACAACTAGGACATGCATTTTAGTAGAAAGCTCAGCCAACCGGTAACTTTCTGGTATTCCAGAACTACAATAAAATTTTCTGAATTTAAATGATGAGTTTGAATCTGAAAACAAAAGAAAATAAAAACAACTGATAAATATTTCTGTTATTAATAAAACAAAATATTTTAATGTCTTTTGGAGCACCAGTTGCACTGAGTACCTTCTCACAAAATTTCTGATAAATGTTCTTTTCTTTTCCTCCTCTCCTGTGTGTGAACACACATCATAATATTTTAGACCTTTGTTTTACATCAGTCCCTAGTCAAAAAAGCAATTTTCCACTGCAGCCTCATTTGCACATATCAATAATTTAACGACAAAGTGTGTATGTGTTCCTAATTATCTCCAAAGGATTTTTGATGAACCTGTGAAAATTAAGGAAAAAAAACCCCGACTAGTCATATTGCAGTGAGAAAAATGAAGCACCAAAACTAAATCACAAAATACCTTAACACTGCATTTTAGTGTCATCAGACAATAAAATATAGAATGTTCAAGACTAGATCTTGTTAATGCTTACAAGTTCAGAAAAAATAAATCTAATGTAAAGACTCCTTTTTTCTTTGGTGCTGCTTAGTTTCTCTGGATGAGTTTGCTTTTCAGTAAATGTTGTTTTAAATATTTGAGTTAAATAATGTAAAAGTAGAAAGCTTTTTTAAAAAAGAAAGCCTGAAGAAGAAAGCTTTCAAACAAAAAATGTCTTCTGCTGCAGATTTCTTCAGATTGCTTTCAGAATTTTCTGAAAGAGGCATTGTCAAGAAAAATTATTTTTAAAAATATAATTATTTTAATATCAGAAACACAGCATGGATGAGGTTAAGGGACCGCAGTGGGTTAGCAGGTCAAACCTCCCAAAATAATGGAGAAGAAATTTGAAGAGCAAAATTTTGTTTCTATAACAAAAGGAGTAGGTTCCCACCCAGATTATCTGGAGATGGTTGTACTCAGTGGTTACTGGGACCCCATGAACAGCAACAGCACCTGGAGTACACTGCTATCCCTCACATGCACTGACCCTCTCACATATTGTTCAAAGACTGTGTACAAAATGGTCTTTAATGAAAAACTGAAATGATAGGTTCAAGACACTGCAGAGCAGTAAAATTCAGCATTAGAACAGAACCAAAAGAATACTGCATAATGAATACACTAAATACTTTTAAAAGAGCTGTTCTATTACTAGCACCAAGACTAAGATTTGGCTGCAGGTTTATTACCACAATACATTTGGGAGCAAACCATCCAGGGAGTTTTTCCAGCATCTGGTTGGCATTACTGCTTGAAATTACTCAATGGGTACTCCCCCATGGCATCTCAGAACAAACTACATAGAATCAACAAGGCAATTGCTCTGTCTCTGCACTTCACTGTGAGCTGGTAAACAGCTAAAGCTCATTTCATATACCAGCAACACACAGAATGAATTTTGCCAGCTATACTGCAATTAGTTCTCCAGCTATTTTAAATCGAATTATTTAGGAAGGAGAATTACTGGAAATTAAATCCAGCTACCAAAACCGAAGCCGCTACATGCTCCAAGAACACTGCAAAAAAATACATTGTATTAAATTTTAGGTTGTGCTAATCTGTTTGATTCACTGTGGCCAATGTATTTAAAAACAGGGAAGGAGAAGAGAACCATAGAGGAGAAGAAACATAAAAGCCAGTACTATGTGTGAGAGGTAGAACAAGCTCATTCTATAGGCCCAAGTCCTCTTTCAGAGGGATATGATATGAGCAAAGGCTCAGAGATGATACATCCTATTTTCCCACTGCAAAAGGTGGTCTGAAAGAGAATGAGGTCTATGCCAGGAAGAACTAGGTAGTGTAAGCATACACAGTTCTGACAACATCTTTGAAGTCACTCCATAAAGACACACAAATAACATATGCATCTTTCAATCGCACAAAGTCCTGATGATGACCATAATACTGCTTACTACTAAAAGTTTTGGCTAAATACTGTCTGTAAATTGACTCCTCAATTAAAATGTTTACAAAGACCAAGGGAAGCAAGGGCTATCACTGATTGCCCTCTGCCTTGCTTACAGATGAACTCATGAAAGAAACACCTTTCCCATTGAATTCCACTTCTGTTATGGAGCCATTTTCCTTCTCAAGCTGGTTAAATGATCATCGTGGTGAAATAAAACAGAAAAAATCCTTGAGTATGTTTGGAGATAACTTTGAAACAGAGGTAAGGGGATATCATTTCCCTATTAAAAAAAAAAAAAAAAAAAAAAAAAGGCTATTTTAAAGGTATGGATAGGTGCCTATGTTCAGAATGGGAACATCTCATCCAGGCCTGGGATGAATATAAGCAGACAAAGTTATGCACCCCAATAGAAGTACTTGTCTTTGATCCATTGATTTGACTAGCTTAGGGCAGGGGCTTTCTAGCTCATTACTTCCATATCCAGAATCAACCTGAACTTTATTTCTGTTCATTTCCTTTGGGATTAAAACAGCTCATTCCTTCCCCTGTCCGTCTCCCCATATTTCCCAAATCAGAAGCACCAGTGTGATGCAAATCAAGCTTCTTTATGTGCTTGAGCAGCATTCGTGGTCCAAGTCTAATCTGGGTGCGGAAACACACTTTGTTTTCTCCTCCTCCATCTACATAAAGTGAAAAGAAGGAAAACTGGACAGCAACCAGGGAGCCTGGGCTGCCCTAAAACATTCCCCTTCACAGTTTATTCAAACACAGTCTAGTTTGGGCGCAAATGAAGCTGTCAACGCTTGATATCTGTGCTGTATGTGAGCTGTTTACAAAACATATTCTTCCCCAGAATTACTTGGAGTCACACTCCAAAGAATCCAATACAGTTGACAGCAAAGTGACAGAGTGTGGGAATGTCAGGAAGAACACAGAAGGGGCAGAAAATGAGAAAGATGAAGTCCTGTCTGCAGCGTTTTTAATGTTAATGGAAGAAACTTTTCTGCTTCAACAGGCTCTTGACAGGGCCCAGAGTTCATGAGGAGGAAGTGCCTGTTCCAGGAACAGAAGCAGGAAGCATATAGATGCAAAACTGAGAGTGGGAGGAGGCAGAAGGAGTAGATAAGCGAGGATGCAGAGGAGCATAAGGAGTGGCAGGTGTGACCAGTTCCCTTTTTATCAGTAGGAATCAATATGAGAATACCAAACATAGTGTGAATTTTAATATCTGTAAAAATAACGTCATCTTCTATGAATATTCTCCTGTAAAAACAGAATGTTTTAAATGCTGTTGGGAGATGAATATGGACCTTTGGTCACTTGGATGAAACCATTTTTTTTTTTTTAGGCTATAGCTTATGGACCAGGAACAACTGAGAAAAGTAAAAAGAATTCAGATATCTGGATATGGCAGCTGGTATGTGGCAATTCACACTTGTTAACTGATGAGTTCATGTTTAAGTTCAAAATCAACAGTAGTAAAGCCTTCTAGCAACAGAAACTGGAATGATTCCCTTCCTTCTCATAGGAGAGATCAGCAATAGGCACCACCTTTCAGCTTTAAACTGTATTGAAAAATAACTGTAAAGTGCTGCCACAATAAAAATAGCCTCTTATTCCTCATCGTGTATGTTGATGACAGAAATACTGGCATCCATCCTTGTTGGGAATTTTAATGCACACTACCTAGGCTATATCCTGTAAATATTTCAGATCAAGCAATAAAGCAACATCACCTCTTAGTTCTGCCTTGAAACATTTGCCCTCATCCTGAAGGCAAACTGGAATCAAGCAGAATCAGGTAATAAAACAATCTGAAAACTTGTTTAGACTAAATTAGGATTGTAGGTGATCTAGACATCCTTCACTCAGCTTGCTTGTAGGATACATTTGCAACCCAAAGAAAAAGGAAAGCTTATTTTTGCTTACACAAGTCAGGCTAGCTTGGGAGGCAGATATTTCTATTAGTTCCTCTTCTGTTGAAATTCACAGGGACTATCAAATACTAATTAAAGAAATCATAATCTTGAAAGACATTTGTTTACACTGCAGCTTATGTCAGCCTGTGGAATCAAGACCTTGTGGCTGGCAAGAACCTGTCTCCCCGGCTTGACAAGATAATAACTAGTGCATTCCAATATGGAGGAACTCAGCAATTTCAGTCAGCCCCCTGCTGACTTGTGAATTGCTCCTCAAGACTTAAAGAGATATGAGGAATCAGAAAAGTAGAAGAGGAGTTTAAACTACTCCAGAAGATTCTCTCTGCAATTTCTGGAGCTGTACCAACTTGTAGGCTGCTAGGTTAGATTGGTGGCAGTGTACTCCAAGAATCAAGCAATGGGTTGCTGCTTTATGATACAAAACAATGAACAATGAACCGTATTTTTATTGATGGTAATAGTGTTAGACAGACGTGATCAGCTGAATATTTAGCTAGACCTCATGAAACAGAACAGGTTTGAGGTGTTCTTTCAGTAGGAAAAATTTCTGTACATGCAGCATTTTCTTTCTGCTGGGGACAGGACATGGAAAATGAAAAGCCTTCTTTCCTTTCAGGAGGGCACATCGACTGTTGCCATGGATGGCAAAACCCTGACTCTCTCTGCTGGTGACAGCCTGCTTGTCCGTGCCCAGTCTGTGTGAGTAGAGATGAACAGGGGATCAGTGCGTGATTCCCCAGCTTCCAGCAATATAAATTCTGTGTATTCAATGCACACCATGTTGGGCATCACTGGTGCAGAAACACAGCATCTGTGAGTGCAGGATTTGCAATAGGCTCTGTTATTTCTCAGGGCAAAAGTGTTTTCAGGAGGAAAAGCCAGACATTCATTCTAGTTCACCTCTTATGATAACAGCTGGAAAAAATAAAAATTAAAAAAAAAAAAAGGGAAAAAAAAAGACACCACTAGGAAAATGCAGCATGCAAATTAATAAAGATATATGGCCTGAAACTACCAACTGGCACTCACAGCAGATGCTCAAAGCATCAGACCAGGCTTAATCAACATCAGAGCAGGAAGATTTGGGGTTCAGGCTCAGAACACAGCTCTCTTCCTGAAGTAGGATGCATACAGCTATTTCATAACCTTGACACATGTGATACACAGAAAGGAAAATAGCTTCCAGAGAGAAAGGAAAGAAAGAGATAGAGCATGGCTAAAGCTGATAAAGTGCCCACTCCTCCTTTTCAGCATCATCCATGATTAATTTGTTGGTTTGAGTCTGTGATTTCCCTCTATACATACTCTCATCTTTCTTTTTTCATAATCTTTTAATTCTTCCAGGTACTGCTGGAAAAGAGCAGAAGACTGTGTTGCTCTCTGCATTGCTCAAGATCCAAAACGCAAGCAGCCTTATAAATAACTCCTGTGTCAGTTGGCTTTGAGGATAACCAAGTTTTAACCTACCTTAATTATCTTTTACTCAGAATGCCTGGAAATTTGAATATTCTAACACAATGATTAAGTGGAGTCAAGTGCTGTGCCCAATTTAAACTTTTTTCCCAAGTAGTTAATTTTTAACAAAATTTATAATCAGTATTTTTTTTAAGACCCAGCACTTTGTTTGATTTTATCTGAAAGGAAATGACCACATATCCAAGTAGTAGGATTACTTACCTAATAATACAAGATACTATCTAGACTAAACTAGAGTCTTTTGAAATGCAAGTCTCTGCCACAAGATGCAGAAAAGGAGATGGGACAGATACTGTTACACTACTGAGGTAACAGGCTGGATGCTGCGTGCACACTGCACTGAACAACGCTGCAATGGGACTAAACAGGAGCACCTGGGTCATGGGTGTGCCCCTGTGCAGCAGAATGTTAGGGGGTAGGAGAGCAGAAAAATTATTATAATCCATGTCTATTAACTGCTGCTTCTTTTTGAACAATGAAGTTTCTTGCAGAGATGATACGTGTCAAATTATATTTTGCTGCTTTTATTCCGAGAACTCTGCAGATGAGTTTTTGTTTGGGTTTTGGTTTTATTTAATTGTTCTTCACATTGTCAACATCAGAAAACCCGTTGCTTAGATACCTGCAGGTATTATCAATTAAATATTTGAGAAAGCAAAAGTTACTTATTCCTGATTTTTTTTTTAATTCTAATTAAGTTCAGAAAAATATTTGTTTCATCTATCACCTATAAAGCTCATTAAACTGAGATGTCCTATATGTTTTATTGAAGTGTTCATTCTTCTCATGAGAAAGACACAAATGCCTTGTCTTTAATCTGTCTATAACTTAACTTCAGCAGCTTTTCTAGCAAAGCCTACAGCAAAACTCTGCTACATCCTCCTAATAACAGGGGGCCTAATTTGCAAAACTGAACCCAGTCCTTAAGGGTGTTATAAGTGTGAGCTGCCACACACAAAAAGTGAACAAGGGAGTAATTTTTTCTGATTACTGTTGGTACTGGTGTGTTTATGTGTCTGCAGAATTGACTACTCGAGTGAACATCTATGATTGAGGGATCTAGGTTACCAAAAAGTGTTATGTTTTTAGTCCAGCAGTTACAGGGTAATCACAGCAATATTTTCATATTTCACACTGAATGATAAGTGAGTAAAACACGGCAACATGTAGAACAGCATCCAGAATAACCAGCAGCTCTTCGCCCACCCAGAGCCAAGGAACTTTCAGAATAAAAATTAAGGCATCTCCAGATTAGATACCTCCCATGATATCCACTCAAATTATACTTGTGATGCCTTTTACAACGACTTGTGCTTGAACACCTAAATTCTGTCCAAGTCACACATTAGGTGCCAGACCAGGAGCAATAAACCAGAGCTTCATCATCCTCAGTTTTGCCACAGCCCACAGTCAAAAATCAGGACTTAGTAGGTCATCAATTAATTTCTGTTGAGGAGCTTCTGTCTTCTAAGAACTAGGTAAGAGGTGTTAAGGCCCATAGGTATGGAAAAGAATCAGGATCAAAACAGTAGGAGAGGATTTATGAAAACAGTGAAATACCACGTACCAAGAGAAAAGAATTTTGTTTTCTAGATATATTCTCTTCTGAGAATTATTTATGTTGTTTTGGTGTCCAATTTCCTTCCCCTCTCACTCCCTGTCTTTCAATTCAATAGTTATTTATGGCCAGAGCACAGAGAGTACTTGTCATTTACTCCTTCCAAGGTGCTTAACCACTGTGATTCGGAAACCTACAACTTCCCTTTCCCAGCTTTTCAAATAGTTCCAGGGGGATTCTGGGCAGGCAGCGAATAATTTTCAAGTGCTTTGCTCTTCCTGCATATTATATCTGTTCTGAACTGCCCCAACAATGGTACATTTATGATTAGATGTACTCATGCTACTCTGCTCACGAGAGTTTTGCACATGCAAATCTGATTCCTGGAGCTCTCTTTGCTGTTCTTTCTGTGTACGTGCAGTCAGCTCAGCAGATACTTCAGCACCAAAGATGTTGGGATCAGGGTCTGGAGACTCCAGTGCTAGTCTTGCCTCAAAGAAGGATTTCAGGCTAAGGCCTCTGGCAGAGGCTTAGTTAGGCACGTTGTTTGCAGAGTTCACAAGTGCACCGCTCTTGACATTGTGCTTGTTCATGCATGTCCATGAAATGTACCTGGCAAAACCATGTTCTATGGAGTCACTGAGGTTCAAGAAGGCCTCCAAGATCATCAGACCCAGACTTTGATGGAACACCAGCTTATCAACTGGCACTAAGTGCCACATCCAGTAATTTCTCGAGGACCCCAAGGGATAGTGACTCCACCACCTCACTTGACAGTCCATTCCAATGCTTAACAAGGCTTTCTGTGGAGAAATTCTTCCTTATGTCCAACCAGATTCTCCCCTTGAGGTCATTTGCTCTCATGCTGGTTACCTGGGAGTAGAGGCCAAGCCCCACCTCACTAGGCACTCCTTTCAGGCAATGGTGGAGCACAAGTTCTCCCTGAGACCTTCTTTTCTCCAGGCTAAACACACCCAGGCACTCCTCATGTGCCTGATACACAAGGCACTTCATATGATTTACACACACATGACTGCCTCTCTTTACAGCTCTTTTTATACCTGGTACACCTGCACCCTGATTTGGATGCTCAATTTCTGTCTGCATCAGACAGATAGTGGGACACCCGATACTTAGCAAACTTGGTACATTTTGACAGGATTGTGCTAACCTTATTAGCACAGTATTGCACAGACAGACCATCTGCTGTTTGATGCTTCTGCAAAACTCAAAATCAAATCTTTATACAAATAAATAGTCTAAGCAGCATTACAATAAAACCTACACAGATACAAAGCTATACCTGTGCCATTCTTGGTAAATTACCTTTGAACACATGCAGCATTGTCCAGAATCACAAGCTTGAGCCGATTTGAAAGCTTAGAAATACACACAAAGAAGTTTGAGTCCACCTACAAGCATCCACAGTTATTCCAAGGCAGAATCTCACCTATCCTAGAGGTCAGCAGGAGTTTTCCCTTTCATTTCATATGGGGAAAGGTGATGCAGCCTTATCCTATCAGCTATTGATTAAAGCAGCAAGGCTTTCCCTGGGCTTTTTCTGTGCCTTTAGAATGTTTAATCCCAATGAGATGACAGGTAAGCTTTGCAAAGAGACAGCTAAATCACTTTTTTTCTGCTATAGTTGTATTTTGATTTCTATTTATAGCATTTAAATCATATAAAAAGTGATATAAGCATTATTATCATACTTCATATTAAGAAAGGAACTTACAGTCACTCTTTCATGTAAATTAGCAATATAGATCAAAATATTTGAAGTAATTAGTGTTTCCTATTATTCCTAGGCTAGGCAGGCTTGACCTCATGGGGTACTTATGTTCTTATTTTGAGCTATGCTAACTTATAGGAATGATGGAAATAAATTTGTATGTCACACTGCACTCCTCCTAACTATGGTCTCATATTCCTATTAAAAATAGTTGATTAGCAAGATTACATGTTTAATGATACATGATTACCATCATCACACATTCATAATAAATAATATTGCTTGAAGTAACTTAAAAATTAAATATTCCTGGTACAGCAAATAAAGCTTCACCAGCCCTTTCTATAATCTTGAAAAAAAGAAATTACAAAAAGCAAGTTCATTAAAAACATGTATGTTTATGGTTATGGAAGAACTACAAGAGAAAAAGCGACCCACACAGATCATGTAGTAAACACATCCGAGATCAACAGAAAAGCACAAAATTGTCCAATTAAAAAACACGAAACCAAAAAAACCCACAGAAGAGTTATGATAATGATCTAATGCTAGTTACATTTGAGCTTGCAATAGATAAACTGACAGCTTGGAAAAGTCAATAGAGGAACCCTTCTTCCTCTGTGCTTGCTCTACTTTTAGATCTTGCTTGTTTACTTGAAGTAGCAAACCCTACCAGAGGCATAAAACTGACTAGGTGGATCAGGAAACTGGTAAAATCAGGAGTGTTGTAGTAAAGTTCTTCCTCAGACCCACACAGTGTTTACTTACACCTGCAAATCAATCTCATCTTACTACATGAAGATAACAAATGCTTTCATTCTGTTGTTAAAAACATTAATTGTACTGATTTAAGCTCTCCAGTCACTTCTAATAGAACAGATGTAGAGAAAGCAACACTCCCACCATCATTGCATATGAGTAAAGGAAAAAAATTACTTAAGCTATTTAACAAATTCCTACATAACCAGCTTGTGTTCATATTGCAGACATTTCAAGGCTTTGGAGTGTTTTATATTTAGTTTATTTTCAGTTAATAACCCAGATGCACCTGAATGAACACTTCAGGCTCATAAAGGTCATCACCTCCTGGTGCATTTCTTTTTCAATACACAAGTATCATAGAGCTACTCTTCAGTATCAAAGGATTCAGAATAGCACCTGATTGGACCCAAAGTGAAACTGTTGATTTTCAAAGTAATAATGAAGAAGAAAAATTTAACATCCACCCCTCAGCTCAAACTACTTACTTGATCTATAGGTCTTAGTACTACCTGGTACAGAAAGGTCTTATGCTGGATCCAGCATAAGATTTTCAGTCACTGTCCAAAAATTGTGCAAGTGAATAAAAACTCTTCCTTTTAATGTCCCTGGAATTTTGAAGGAAGCTTGACATCTAGGATGATGTTTATACACAGAGTCAGACAGTTCGTATTCCAAAAATAAGTTCCTAAATTGTAATATCATTAGGGAAATCGTCTCCCCTTTTTGGAGGCTGCAAAAGATGAAACAATTCTTTCTAAATTGTTGTTACTGTAGGTTAAATATATCTCCAAGATCTTTGGCCTGGTAATTCAGTAGGAATTGCATGAGAACCACATACTGAAAGATTTGAACACTGTTTCATATTTTTAGAGTTGCTAAATAGGCACATGTACATGGCTATTACAGTGCTAAATAAAAAATTCTCTCCATGGTTTTGGAGATAAATTGAAATTGAAGCAAAACTATTTGGGTTCAAAAACACTTCATTATACAGTCTGATAAGCCCCAGAGACAGATGTCATGACTATGACAAAGCAAACTAAGCATAGGCACTTTTGACGATTCAGTGAGGAATTTGAGTACATCTTTAGTACATCTGAAAAAATAGGACTTCTGAAGTGCTATACAACTACAGCAAATATATAATTTTAGCATGTTTTAATGTTTTTCCTCTTGAAGAAAAAAAACTCGTAGCTTGCTTAGAATGCAAAATCAAGGCACACAGATGATGGAGTTTATAAAGGTTCTACTTTACAAACTGTCAGCGCAGACACACTTTCCTAGACAATGAGTTGTCCACATGTTCAAACCATACACTTTATAGTTTGAGAATAAATTTGACAATCCAATTGTGTAAAGTAACTAAACACATGCCAATTTGTAGAACTGAAGCATGAAAGTTTCAGTATGTAATTCCCAAATACCACAGGGATTTGACACGGAAATGCAGCCATTGCACCTACCTAGCTTTTTGTTAACTGCCTCTTCCTCCAAGGAGACCCCAGGGCAGAATCTGGATTCCATGAAGAAGGGAAACTTGGGCACCTTCAAATGGCTCCACATTAACTGCTGAGCAGAGCAAAGAACTGCACTGACAATGCAGCTGTCCACAGCTGAACCACAAGGAAATTCCTGAGGGGGTTATTTGTATGCCACTCTGACACACACTCTGCTCTCAGGGTGCTCAAAAAGCCACTTTCAC